CTCCTCCTCCTTCTCTCTTTCCCTCCGCCTCCTCCTCCTCCTCTTCCTCCTCCTCCTTCTCCTCTTCCTCCTCCTCTTCCTCCTCCTCTTCCTCCTCCTTTTCCTCATCCTCATCCTCCTCTTCCCCCTCTTCTTGGCATCTTTAAAAAATTCTTCTCTCATATATTATATCTTTACTATGGTTTTCCATCCCTCCACTCCTCCTAGCCCTTCCTACCACTCCTATCCCCAGATGAACTCCTTCTCTGTTTCCCTTTAAAAAAAAAAAAAAAGAGCAGGCTTCCAGCATAACAAGTTACAATAGGTCTAGGCACAAATCCTTATATCAAGGCTTGTTCAGGCAAACCAGTATTTGGAAAAGGGTCCCAAATGCAGTCAGAACAGTCAGAGACACCCATACTCCCTCTATTAGGGGTCCCCCAAGAACACCAACCTGCGCAATCATAACACATATGCAGAAGACCTTGCTCAGACCCATACAGGGTGTGTGATTGTTGCTTCAGTCTCTGTGACCTCCTATAAACCCTGATTAAATGAGTCTGTGGGCTGTGTTCTCATTGTGGAAAAACACATTTCTATTGTTCATAAGCCATCCAGTCTCTAGTAATGTATTATAGAATCACAAATAGATCAAGTTTTCATGGTTGTTTGAAAGCTATGAATCTGTTTTGTGAAACCAGCTCCTTAATGATATTAAAACTTATGCCTATATCATGTTTACATCAAGAACACTAGGTGAATGTTTTGTTTTAGTTTGTTTTTTGTTGCTGTGCTCTAACCAAAAACAACTTAAGAAAGGAAAGGGTTCATTTCATATTATAATTGCAGTCCATTGTGGAATGATGTCAGACCTGGAACTCAAGTTGGAACTTGAAGGCAAGCTTGCTTGTTGTTCCACATAGAATAATTTTGGACCAAGGTACTTCTCAGCCAGATATCTACATCAGGAACTATGGAGGATACTGCTTGCTAGCAGGACCCAGGTTAACTTTCTTAAATAGCCCAGGATTACCTGCAAAGGAATGGCACTGCCTACTGTGGGCTGGGATGTCTTTCATCAATTAACGACCAAGACCTTTCTCCACAGATA